ACAGGACCTGACACTGTTACTAACCTTGCATTTCCATCTCCCATATTTGTTAGAACTCTATTTCCTTTCTCATCAATGAACGCAGTATATTTTCATGGCTGTCAGGATAGTAAGGATTATGAAAGGGATAAACCAGGAGGAAATTTCTATCAGTCTGAAAGCAACTTTACAATATAGTGAACCTAAATGAATCTTTTCCAGGCACATTAAATTTTTTTCATTTCTTAACTCAATGTGATCATCAATTTGTGACTAGAAATTGAAATCTAAATATGTGCATATGCATAAGCACACACATGTATAATTAATAGCCTCATTTACACTTCTTGCTAATGAAAAAAGCAAGACTTTAAGTGTTTTTATTTTGTTTTATTTTACTAAAAGAAAATAACATTGCATTAAATGATATATTTGAAAGTACATTAAACTATATGTGTATAATTTGCCATATTGTTTGTTGAACTCAATAAAGGGTATAGCATGTATGTATGTATTACAATGTGAACATTATTCTATGTGTTTGCAGGAGGAGATGTATTATGCATTAATGTATTCAAATTGTCAGGCACAACTGCTCTGCAGGAAACTAGCATGAGCCAAACCTAGATCAAGGCAAAGTATGGCAATATGGGATTCAATTTAAACTGCCCAAGCTACTTTGAGAGCAAGAGTTCATAGGTCACCTCAGTGTACTCACATTATAACTGATAATGCCATAAAGGTCAGCTATGTGTAGAGAAAATATTGTTGAATATTTTTTTCTGTCGTACATATTCTAGTTTCAATGTCCATCTTGATTTTACTGCCTCGATACTGATCTTTATCAGGCAGTTTTGCCTCAGCAATTGGGCTGCAGCACTGAAAAATCTATTCTTATGTTAATTTAAATAGGTAAATTGCCTCACAATAGTTTTTGTCAATGCACTTTTGAAACGTAACATGTGTGACTCTACGATTAATTTTGGTCATTCTGAATTTGCACTGCGTGGACAAGTGTTCATATCTAAAATATAGCATGTATTATGCTAAATGTCTGGATGTTTCCTAAAGCTTCATAGGCTCACAGGTGGGTGTTTATGGAGGTGACTGGGGCATGATGTATTACTCCACTGATGAATTTACAGCTAATTGTGATGTTGGGAGGTGAAGCCTGGTTGGAGGAGGTAGCTCGATGGCAGCCTGACTTGGAAGCGTCTATCTCATCCCTTCTTCCTTTATTGCTATGCATCCATTACTGCCCTGCCCTCTGCTGCGCTGCTCTCTCTGGAGCACCTGACTGTGGACTGAACTCTCTACAAAGTATGAGCCAAAATTAACATATTCTCCATTAAATCGTGGGTGTTGCTTAGTGTGACTTACAGACAAGGCAACGACATACTTTCGAGACAGGATATCTAAATTTCTGTATGCCTCTAACTTTCTAGGTGATTAAAAAGCGAAAAACTTTGAAGCGTATTACTCTTTTCCTCTCTAACTAGTCCGCTCTAAAATTTAAGACATCCATTTTTAAAGAACATTACTTGTACACTATTACTTTTATGGGCCTTTGTTCTCTACAAATCAGTAAACTTATAATCTAATTCTCCACAGAAAAGAAGCTACAAAAATTTGGAAATTATAAAAGAGAAATTTCAGCATTGCTATGAGAAACTATTAGAAATATGATATGAACTTCCTTTTGATTTTAAAATTATTTTTAAGATGAATGTCAAGTTTCACTGCTCTGCATTTTTCAGCTAAAATGACAAAATTACTCCATGGTTTCCTTTATTAAACTAAGAAGCAATTTGGTACTGTAGTAAATAGTCATTGTTTTTATAACTGATTTTTTGTTCTGCATATACCTAAAAATCTTCTCTTTAATTTTGTCAATGCAAATGTTAACATTTTCTATAGTTTTGAAAATATTGCTAAATATCATCCTTATCATTATTACATATGTTTCTATAAATAAATCATTTTCTTTGTAAACTTGTATTATCATGTTACTCACCCTTTGATACCTACTAACTGGGATAAAAAGACTGAATATTTTCTTTAATTATTGCTGAAACTTCCCAAGTCCTTGAAACCATTCTTCCTCTGTACTTTGCTGGATCAGAAAAAATGCATAGTAAATATGGAGGCTGTTTCTCAGGTCTTATTATCAGGTCTGCAGCATACATTTTGCTGCAGAAGCTTTTTGGAAAGATGACTCTTTTTCCTCCAAATCAAAAATTATTCAACTCTTGAAAATTTTCTTTCTCTTTTGTTTTCACAATATGTACTGTACATTTGGGAGATTATTACTCTTTCAATTTTTTTTTTATAATACTAGAGAGACAATATGATATTTACACATGTGAGTTTGATTTATTTCACTTGTAAATTTGGCCACAAGTTTCATCCATTTACATACAAAAGCCTGAAGTGTATCCTTCTTTATAACTGAATAATACTCCATTATAATAAAACACCACATCTTTTTTATCCATTCTGTGGCAGAGAAACATTTGCGTTGTTTCTAAGAATTAGCCATTATAAATTGTGCTGCTATTAAATCTATATTAATTAAAACCTATATTAGTCAAAATGTATTTCAAGCTACTTTATTTATTTCTTAATTTCCAAGTTAATGAAATAAATTAATCACATATGGTTCTTTCACATTTTATACTTTGTAGATTTTATGGAAATTTTGAGATCAATTATACATTCTGATGCACATCTACTGAATGCATTGCTTCTATTACTAATAATTATCAAATCTTCACATACTTGACCCTTTTTAGTTTCTCCAAAGCGTTACAAACCTTCAACGTTAAGAATATATTCTCAAATGGCTGAACATTTGCTCTTACAATTTCCCACTTATTTTTTCTTCCTTCTAGGATGAATTTATAATTAGTCTTCTTCAAATGAAAGTCTTCTAGATCAGTTAGCTAGCTAGCTAACTAGACACATGGATACTTTTTATTTTCCTATTCTGTACAATTGTTTACTCTATATTTTCTACTGTTATAGCCCATTATGTTACATGTAGGTACATATTTTAGCTCTTTCCTACAATCTCTCCGCTAATACCGAACAGATTATTGGCTCAATTGGAACATTTCTGTAAACACACAATTAGAAGTTCATTAACCATCAGCTACAACATCATGTAGGAGCAGAGTGTAATGTGGCATATAGTGGCTGTGGAGTGGTTTGTAACCTGCCTGCCCTCTATGAAGCAGAACCAAATTTGGGTCATTACATTCAGCAGGGAGCTTTGAAACACCTTCCGACTTCATGCAGCCCGATGGTGAGTGTCTTTTGACCTAGTTTTGCACACGGGAAACTCAAGGATGCCAGGCGTTGGAGACTCAAAGAATAAACTGTGGCTTTCTGTCGCTGAAAGGATCCCTAAAACATTACCTTCAAGGTTCTTCTCATTCCGGGTGATTATATTGGATTCCTTGTAGTTCAGAGGTAAGTGCTTCTTTTACAGTGTGAGCAAGTTGAAACTGAATTCAGATGACCTTAATTGTGTCTCTAGTTTGCCTGAATTTAGATAAGCTCTTCCAAAACTCTCAGCCTTTACTCAACTCGGAGCATCTACTATAGGAAACTCAAAATTGTTATTTTTTTTTTCTTTGCACTGCTTTACAATATATTTTTTCACAGCTTCTTGCCGGGTTTATAACTGAACAGTGTTTTTCTTAGGAACTTAAATGCTCTATTTTTAAAATGTAAACCTAAAGGGAGATAGTATCTCTAACTTACAGATTCTGTCAGGAAGATGAATAACAGGTGGATATAGTGTTACAAATTGTGAAAGTACCTCATCACAAAATCAGGAACAAATTTACACTTCCTTTGGTAAAGCCAATCTGCCAGCACAAGTGGTCACTGTGGTCTCCCTCATTCCAGTGGAAAATTCTCTCCCAACCTTCGTTTCAGCCCAAGTTCTGTTATCTCCACTCTTTGCATCAGCATTGCAAGAAACTGTACGTAAGTGTTTACAGGAATTTTTGCTTGTCAAATTGATATCTAGAAATTCTTGAGAGTAAAGAAGGCCTGTCTTTCTATCACATCACCACTTTGCAACTTGTATTTAGAATATATATATTTGGTTTTCAGTCCTAGAGGCTTCATCTACTGGGTGTTGTATGATTATTGAAAAATTTCTGTCTGCAATAAGGCAAACCCTTACAAAAGGCAAATTCCAACACTTTCGATGTCTTTATTCAGTGCTACCTCTTATTTCTTTTACCAGGAAAACACAGAATCTTAAACTGGGACACTGCTGCATTGGTAATGATCCTCTACCTTTCTCGCTTACCTTTGTCTCACAGGATGATCAAAGTCAAGCAAAATGAATCACATACTATTTCTAAAAAGTATTACATCAAGGAAACCACAATCCATAGTATCTGCCTTTGCTATTCCAACAAGATTTTATCGTCTCTTCCTAATCTTAACATTAAGACATTTAAAAAAAATCAATGCTAACCCTAATAATGCTATAGAAAGCATATTTTATGCCTTCTAATTTGCTTTTCACATTTGGGACTATATCATACATATTTTTCTGAGTCTCTTATCTCCTTCAATGTAAGCTTCTGGAGAGCAAAGACATAGCTTTTTTATTCTTTTACAGTACAGGTAATACTTGGATATTGAACAAGATTTAAAAACACTGACCAAAATTATTTTATTTAATTTCCCAAATATGATGAAAAGGTAAAAATTATACCAATATTTTAAATAAAAATAATTTATCTCAAAAATAATTGAAAATCTACTTATTTTACAACTCTAAGTAATGTTTTATTATTCCTTTCAAATAAATTTGCCAAGTCTACCTTACATATTCTGTACATTTTACATTAAAATAATACATAAAGAAAAGTTATTTATAGTTAGTTTTCAAATGAAAAGGATACCGCTAAAGATTTTCTCTCAAGCAATAAATCTTTACTCAAATTGGCTAAAATTTGTAGGATATCAATGGAGAAAATTTAATTCCTTTACAGTACCTGTATATGCAAATTGAACAAGGTCCCAGAGGGCATTGGGGTCTATGCCTTCCATCTTGATCTCCTCTTGCTTGGCTTCACAAACATCACTTGTAAACATGGCCGCAAAATAGTCAGAGACGGAGCTCAGAACAAGCCTGAAATAGTCACACAGTTTGATTTAGGCCATGAATTTATAGTGTAAACACTTTGTGTCAATCAAAATCCAATGCTTAGGACAAAACCAATAACCATTCAGTTAATAAATTCCTTACATTTTTCCCTTCCAGACTGTTTTTTAAAAAATTGATAGAAGAAATCTGGCACTAGCTTTGAGTTACAGAGTATTTGCCTGTATGTTCTTTCATCATCTTATGTGTGTTTTTCCTTTCAAGTTTAGGATTTCGCTCCTTTTGCATAAGAATCAAATTTTATTTCTCTGTACACATTGAATAAATTTTCACCACTGTGTTCTTTGCTTTGTTAAAGTATAGTACTATCTCTACCATCAGTTTAATTCATGAATGAATGTTAATCTCTCCCTGAATTTTTTCTAATTCCGTCTGTTTTGTTGTAATGCAATAAAAGACTTATAATACTACAGATATAGCTATGTATTTTTAATGCACAAGGTAAATTCTTTCTTCTTATAAAAAGAAAGTTTGAACCTTCATAAGTCAAATTTTAAAGTTTAAATTTAAAATTTTTTTCAGCTTCAATCACTACTATGAAATTTTTATTAAATGCACCGATTTTCTGTTTTTCTTTGGGGAAAGTTGGACTTTTTAGATAATCCAGTACTTTCAAAAGTACATTTATTCACGTATTCAGGATATTTAATTTCTTGATTTTCAAACTTTACATTTCCTCTAAATGTGTCATATATTTTTTTGGTTAATTTCTGTATATTTTTTAGTTTTCTTCTCATTGTGTATAATCCATTTTCATTAGAATTAGTTGGTTGAAAATGTCATACATCCATCTTTTATCTGACACATTTATTTTACTTTTCTTTGACTCTGTTTCTCTACCAGGAAGATAATCATATCATCTGGATATCATCACATTTTGAATGATTATTATTCTCTGAAATTCCTTTTATCTTTTAACCCTATACAAGCCTGTCAGTGCTACATTACAGGAGCAAATTCCTGTTTTTCTCCGAAGTGGCAGGAACACATGAGAAGTTTCTCTGTCTATTATGCAGCTTTGTGAACATGTTTATATACCAACACAGACTTTCTCAATTCGGGATGACCTCATTAATTTCTACTGTTTCAAAAATTCGTTTTAAAAAATCTTGTACACCACATAGGTGTTAACATTCACAGTTTTATGAATAGTAATTCTCAGGGAAACTAATAAATCAGTTTCAGGTTTTTTTCTTTGTGTAATCATATGAAAAACTGATCTACACTTTCCTTATATTTTTCTCAGCTGTTTTTGAATTAAAGTTAAACAAGGCTTATGAAATGAGCGGTCAGATTCAATTTTTTACTTTTAAATTTTTATAACAAGTTACAGAAAAAAGTAATTATTTTTTTCCTTTAAGAAATTTTACAGCTTTTAAAAGTTCTAAAAGTTTGGCTATTTTGGAAAGTTAGTTTTCATTTTGCCATTTCATTCACATTACTTAGTAAAGCAAATATATTATTCATGAGCTGTGTTTCTTCTTACATTTACTTTGACGATGTCCCATTTTCTAAGAATTCATTTCTATCTGCATTCTAAAGCACATTAATGTGGCTTTTTTAATGATTTGTAGTCTCTCAGATTTCTTCTGATCTTTACAATTGCTTTATTTCTTGGCGCTACTTCTTTTTACCTTTAAAAATATTTCTTATAATTACTTGCATTCCCTATTCTGGTCATTTTAATGAAGAAGTGGTTTATTGGTCACTTTTTATTGACTGTAGTTGATGTATGATCTGCCTTACATCTTCCTTTCTCAATTTATTGTAAATTTCAATTTTATAGCAGACAATTTTTCTACCTCTTCCAAAAATTATAGGCATACGACTGTAGTTTTTTAGATGTTGATTTACTTTCTGAGATTTTGTTTGTTTTGTACAGCTTCAAAGTAATAGTATCTGCAATTTATAAAAGTAATAGTATCTTACAATTTATCTGGGTGTTTATTGTCATTTTTAAAAAATTTCAAAGTTTCTGTGCACCTTAAACATTAAAAATGGAAACAAAATTTTACAAAGATATAGTAAAAGATGACAATTTATCTTCATCTTAAAAAGCAAGAGAACATAGTTTTAAAAGGCTGCCTGCTAGATATGATGTTCTTCATAGTTTTGTATACAATTTAGAAAAAATATTTTTCTTTGCAGCATAAGAGAAACAATTTTTAGAATTTGGAGTCTCTTTAAAGAAATACTGCTCACTGACTGAGAAAGTAACTACTAATATGGAAAAGAAGAAAGCAGCAAAATATTATGACATCGAATTGAAATCACAAGCATCAATGTATATCCTACGCTATTACAGAATTATACAACTGTGATTTTGGTGTGTGTATAGATTGAGAACCCTTTGGAAAAGGATCAGGCCTCTGAGTTGGAGCAGGTAAATAAAACGATCAGCTTGTAAGCCCTTGTGTTTCACAAAGTAAGGAGGGACTGCAAATTGATGGGAACTCATCAAGAGAACTAGATGTATCTTATCTGGAAGAAACACAGTCTGTATCTGGAAGAAATGCAACAGTCAACTTTAAAACAACTTTTCCCCTAAGAAGCCTGAGATAAGAAAAGAATAAACATCAATATGAGATGGTATTATTAGCTGATTTTTTTCATAATATTCTAGTCAGGAAGAATTTTTCTCAATTAATTATTTTGTGTTTTATGTGCTCTCCACTTTATCTTCTCTGTAAGAAAACAGGCCTGAAAAAATTTAACTTGAACAAAATCAGACATTGTTTAACTAAAATACATTTCTTAAATATATGACATATTTAAGAAGTGTTTTAAGTAATCTATGGTTTTAACTATTTTGTAAATATTAATGTATAGGATACTTACTTGTCAGAAATATTTAAATTTATTCCATATGAAATTAATGGTAACTTAATAGCTGACATTTCAAATATTTTTAGATTTCAAGGTTTGAAAGAATAAAGCAAAGACATCATCAAACTTTATTATATTCTCAGTTAATTTCAAGTCATCTATTTTACCAAAATACTTAATATAATTCTTATGATAAAAACATAAACCATATATATATGTATATATTATCTCACACATATACTTTTTAAAATATACTTCTTACAGATAAATTGTTTCCTATTTTTTCTGAGGCAAATTCTAGCTATGCAGTTTAGGCTGGCCTCAAACTCTACAGAGCCTGGCTTGGCCTTGAACTCATGGTCATACTCCTGCCTCAGTTTTTCAAATGCTGGGGTTACAGGCATGTGCCATCATGCCTGGCACAAATAAGAATTGCATCAGTATAAAGTTACAGTCTAAAGCTTGATCTGATATACAAGAACCATCTATGCAGGACAGTCACAAAAGAGAGAACAAAATATTTTGTCACAGTATTGTTCAATTGTAAATCATTAAATAAATTATTCTATAAACTGTAATGTAAAATACAGCTAGCTCAACAGAAAAAAAAAAAACATGAAAATGTACTCCGTGGAGAGTAGTGTATGAGATTTAAATTATATTGTAGTATGGCTTAATGTCTAACAGAAATTTAAGTTTTACATATACCTGTTTGCCTTCTATTAATGAAAGAGAAGCAGGAGCAAAAACTGTATAAATGAGCACATAAATGCAGCCTCTCTGGAAAATCTCTTATTGAGGTCACTATAAATTTATTTCCTTATAAAATTGCCCGCCTTTCCTAAATTCCACTTCAATTTATTATGGTGTTTGACACTGTCGACCTCCCACTTCTTTAAATCCATTTTTTAGCTAAAGTAGTGCAGACTTCCTTATCTCAGCTCTCCTTTGAATGATTTTTCTTCCTTTTTCTACTCTTTTAACTCTTTCATTGCCAGAGATTTTTTTTTCTTTCATGATTCTTTACTGGGCCTTACCATTCACTGTTGCCAAATTATTGTGTGCACTGATTTTATAATTATTATTATGATGATTTCAAGTTTCACCTCCTATGTTGAATGCCTCTGGAAACGCTCACAGAATATTTCAGTGACATTTCATTATGATTAAACTGTAAAAAGTCTTTTGGCTAAGATATTTTTCTTTAATGGTTTCCTGTTCCTAATCAGTGCAGTGAATATGTATCAAACTCCAAAAGTAGGAGTTATGAAATCACTGTCATCTATATCAAATATGGCACAGAAATCGTATTTCCTTCTGTAGTTGAGTTTGCTGTTGCACAGACATACTTTCAGAGTCAACATTGTTATTACCCAACAACAACAAAACACTCCTTTTCCTCAAAACCACATTTGACCCAACAGCATCTGTACCATTTCCAGGAAGTTCCTGTGCTCCTGCTCTCCTTTGTGCATTCTCCAAAGTGTATAACCTTCCAAATCTCAGTCAATGGCAGTGAGGAATAAAAGTCAGCATGTAAACACCATGCAGGCAATTTAGAAAAATATCAATAAAAGTCACATAACAATGCTGAGTTAATAGTCTTGCATAGTCACATTACTAATAGCAGTCCAAGGCCATATGTGACGCATGGTCTTTAGGTCTAACATGACTGCTTCAAAAGTTCTTGGATCACAGGGATGAAGCAAAGTCCTTTATTTGTCCCTTCTTATGATCAATCTTATTTTCTCTTTTCTAAGGACAATTCTATAAATCACACATACCAAATTCTAGGCTGAGGTTGAAATAATAAGGAAGCTGACCTACAACAGCACTCTTCAAAACATTTCTGTTCATCTCTTTATGTTCGTGTAGTCCTCATTTTATACCTGGGTTAACTGCAGCAGTTTCACAGATCATTAACTCGTTTATGCGGATCTGTCTTTCATACATTTATAAAAGCGGCACCATATTTCAAAGGCAACTTTTACATTATGATAGCCTGTTTCACTTGTTAAAAGCATGACTTCTATACTCATATTGCCTGGGTTTGAATTCTATTTTCATCAATTGTTGAGTGTATAACTGGCACAAAATTCTTAATTTCTCTGTCCTCTTTTTTCTATTCTACAAAAATGATT